CTCGGCCGTTGCTGTCCGACGCTTCGCGCCTTCACGTCGCCGCTGACATAGGAAAAGACGGGGCAAACATCGGTACGGCAACTCGAGATGTGATCAGGCATTCTGGATGTTTTGTATCAGGAATGAGTGTAAGTCGCACGAGCAGTGGGTCAATTGAAATCGCGCAGAAAAGTATGTTTATCTACTTACTTCGATTCGCGTCAAACGTTCAACAACGCTGGGACCTGCTTCAAGTCGCGTGACGAGTTGCGCAGGTCAGTCGATTGACGGCGATGGGACTCAATCTGCACAATGTACAGTGGTACCAGCGTGAACCCCAAACAACGATTCTGCCTGACCACTTGGGCGCAATCAGTTTGGGGCCAGTTGAGTTGCAGTGTGCGCAGTGCGCTCTCGACAGTGGAGTATATGAAATTTGATATACAGGGTGCAAGCTATGCGGGGCGATCCGTAGGGAACGATCTGCGCGGTGGGACACGCGTGGGGTGTGGGACCCTGTGCGGGGGGAGTGGCGGAACCCCTACGGGGTGAGACTCATGTGTGGGGGGATGAGCGGAATTCCTTGTTTCCGCAGTTTTGGTTGCCCTGGGGCATGTCGGGCAGAACGAGCACGACAAGTTTTGGCTGCCCCAGGGCATGGCGAGCAAGGTCGACACGTCGTTCCTTCCGGGCCCGGCCAAGGTGGCCCCGCACCTCGTCGACAAGGCGAGGAGACCCTCGCTACGACCGCCAGTCCTACCCTTCCCCCTTCTGCCCTCCCCCTCGTCCTCTCCTCCTCCTCCTCCTCCTCCTCCTCCTCCTCCTCCTCCTCCTCCTCCTCCTCCTCCTCCTCCTCCTCCTCTCCCCCTGCACTTCCCTAGCCCTTTTGGCTCAAGCGTTCGCACGGCCGCGCCTCCTTCATCCTCGTGGGTCCGAGGGATTGCGCAGCCTAGAGGGTCCCGCACAGTTGTCCCCCGACGGGGCAATCCCCGCTGTGCGAATGACTTCTTGCAGGGGCCTTATGAAGAGAGAGCTTAGAGGGAGGGTGTATTCCAACATCGTTGATGAGCATTGGGATTGCACTGGCCCTCCTCCCCCTCCTCCCCCCCCCCCCCCCCCCCCCCCCTCCTCCCCCCCCTCTCCTCCTCCTCCTCCTCCTCCTCCTCCTCCTCCTCCTCCTCCTCCTCCTCCTCCTCCTCCCGCTCTTTCCACTCCTGCTCCCGCTGCTGATGTTCCTCCTCGTCTTCCTCCTTTCTGCCCATCTTCCTTATGCTCATCCTCCCGCTTCTCCCCCACTTCCTCCAATATGCACAGTTCCCCTCTCTTGAACGCGCAACACGATGGTATCCTTCTGGTGGTTCCAGATCCGCTATGTCACCCGTGGCAGGGTAAGAAAAGTCAGAGTCATGGGAAGGGATTGGTGGGAGGGGCAGGATGTCGCATGTGGCGAGACCGCGCCTGGCTTGCCCTCTCTCTCTCCCCCTCTCCCTCTTCGCCCTCCCCCCCCAGCCCCCTCCTCTCCCCACTCCTCCCACTTCTCCCCGACTCCCCCCCTCGCGCTTCCCGCTCGTGGGGGGCAAGCGGCGAAAGCGGAGAGGGGGGGGAGGCGGGAGCGAAGGAAAGTATGGTCTCGTGGATTCGATGCTGGTGCCGACGGCGGCCCTGCGGAATCCGCCCGGCACCTGACCCCCGATCTCTCCCGTGGCCCCGCCCTGGCCAGCTTGTCGAGCCGTCCCCAACCACTCGGCGGCGAGCGAGGTGGGGAAATGAGAGGGAGAAGGCCTTCTCCGAAGGCGGCGGGACCTCTCAGAAGCCCTCGCGCCTTCTGAGAAGTTTTCTGTGTCTTCGGGGAAGGCTCAGAAAACTTCTCAGCAGGCCGGGGAACTTCCGAGCCTTCTGAGAAGGCCCGCACGTTCTCGCCTTCCCCCCTCGCTCGCCGTCCCCGACCACGGCGGCCAGGGGCGCCCAGGAGGCCCCACCTGGCTGGAACCTCGGCCCTCTGACCTCGCGCAGCTCCCAGGTTCGAGGTTGCGGAACAGGTTGCAACGTCGCGAAGCATCACGACCGGAGCCACAGGCCCCATCTTCCTGCAGCATTTCTCGCGCCGGATCAATCTGTGGCGGCCCCAGGGCCTGACACCAGGCGAAAGCGCCGGTGCGAAAGGATTGCGACGCCTGGACTCCAGGGCGACTCCAGAGCCTGGGCGGCGGGAGGACTGGACCGGGCGGTGCACCGAGGGCTTCCCCGTTGAGGGGCCACGGGCCACATTCGAGGGGGGATAGGTTCAGGGGGGACTGCTCCGCCCAGGAAGGCGCGGACTCGCTGTCGGGAGCCCCTCGACGATCTATCGGCGATGTGTCGCTGATCCCAGGTCGACGTTCACCCCCCCTCAGCCGGTGCCCCCCTGACGTTGCCCCTCGCTCGCCAGGTCTGGAAGAAGAGCGTGGACAGGGAGGAGCTCTTCGTGCTCGGCGAGCTGCGGGCGGACAGGGCCCACCGTGTGAACCCCATCACGTGGGAGGCGCGCCTCTCCCTCGCCCAGCCGTCCCCCGTCTCCTCCTGTTTCGTTTCCCCTTTCGTGTGGATCGCCAACGGGCATGGGGTGAGGGCGGGGTGGAGGCCAGCGAAAGCGATAACTAGTGAGGTGGTACATCGCCAGGCGCTACGCACTGAGCACCTCATCATCGTAGTCATCCGCCATCCGTCATCCGTCATCCGCCATGCCCCCCATCCTCCGTCTTCCGCCATCCCCCGTTCTTCTTTTTCCTCTCCTTGTTCTTCTTCTTCCTCCACCTCCTCTTCCTCTTCTTCCTCTTCGTCTTCTTCTTCCTCTTCCTCTTTCTCCTTCCACCCTCCCTTCCTCCCTTCCTCCTCTGCCCCCTCCTCGTTCTCTTCCTAGTTATCCTCCGCCGCCTCCTCCTCACTCGAATAGGATGCCCGGTTGCCATTTGGCTGGGAGCGCTGGCGCGATCGCATCTGATAAGGTACAAGGTTCCGCATCTCTCATGCTTTCTTGTTACAGCCATCCAACCCCTGCAATTCTAGTTGGTAGTGGAGCTGGAATCAACCCCGGTTCTCGATGCACGGAAGATGCGCAGAGTGCGATGTGGACGCACGTTCTTTCACTCTCCGCATTTGGTGCCATCCTCCAGTCCCTGAACAGCCTGTGCTCAGGGCTGTTCTGCAGACTTCACGGTAATTCGCCCAATTTACCGTCTGTTTCAGGCGCGATGAGGCCAACGCCTACGACCACGAGAAGCCCTGTGATTGGTGTACCGTCTCTTGGGGGACAGATGGCCTGGTGTAGTTGTGAGCGTACCCAAAGGGGGCAGCAATGCCCCAGCCACCCACCATCAAAATTTTCCCAGCGCGGGCAGTTGAGCGTCATCGCTGTACCACAGACTTGGGCTCGTGTGTGGCTTCGAATTGAGCGCAGTGGTGTTAGCGTTCCTCTTATTCAGCCCGCTGCGCACTCCGAATGGATTCAAGCTGGTTAACGATACGACTACAAATTACAGTCGCGCATCATCGGGCGCGGTACTGTTGCTCGCGCGGCTTTGCGTTTGCTGATGGCTTTAAGCTACCCTCGCACATCATCGAGGGCTTCATTACACTACTACTACGACTGCTTCAAGTGTCAAGATGGCTTTCGTCCCTGGACGTCTGACAGGACCAAGTCCCAAGGCGCCTGACAGGGATTTTTTTACCCGGAACAGTTTCGTGAGGAGGACATCTAATGTGGCAGTACCGAGCAGGATCCTCATCCCTTCTATGGTGGCTTTGTTGTGGCTCGCTTGCATGATGTCAGGTGCCGGTCAAGTCGGAGGCAGTGATATTAGCGGCATTGCGTCCCGCCGCCCACTTTCCCAGTCACCCGAACGGGGATTATATGACCTTTTCTGCCAGTGGGTGCAGGACCTACTCGTTTTGAGCGTACTCGCCACCGACATGGACAGCGCCCATGATTGCATTGCCATCATCCTCAATCTCGGCGGCGCCGTTCGCGAGCTTACGCGTTCCATGAAATTCACGGAGATGACAGAAGGAGACATGGCTATCGGACAACAGGAAGACGCCGCTACGTACCTCACAGCGAACCTCGCCATCCAGTTTGGACCATTTGTTGAAGAGTCACGCCAACAAGCTACCAGGGCGCCCGTCGAGTTATCGAGGTGACACGACGAGACATCTGATGCACAGCTCTCGCGGATTCTCACACCACGATTCCGAGCAAGGCGCAACGGTGGAGCTCCGATGCCATGGAGAGGCAACAGCTGGCTGCTCCTCCGAGCGGTCGGCTTTGCCGCCAGCCGACCTCGTGCCGCTGCTTCAGCATTGTGGCAGCCGATCGAGCCTGAGTTCAACAGTTCCTCGACAGATCTCAGGCGTGTTGGTCGCATCTCGGAGCGTGTATCCACCAGCGTGACCGGCGCCCTCCGCGCGCCGCCGTCCTTCGGAGGCTTCGTGAGCGTGGCCGACGACAACAGTCATGGTGCCTGCGCGGCCAACCCTTGGTGCTCACAAGGGCTTGGCTTTTTGGCTGCTAGCGCTGCTTAACTCCCAGGTCTCGCAGGTGGCTCCTTCGCGTGCCGGCAGCGCCCGGCCGAGCGTCTCGCCGCTGCAGGCCGCGTATCCCGCCGCCGCGTGGTTGCGCGCTGACTGCGCCCGCCTACGTCGAGAATGCTGGCGGGGCCAGCCCCGGTGCGAGCTTAGATTTCGGAAAAGCAATTGACCGCGCGGCGGGGCAGTCCAGAGGCCTGTCCCCAACTCAGATCGACGCCTAGATCTTCTGGCGGATGATTCGCTGCAAGTGTCAATGGTGACGCCGCGTGATCGAGGCCACGAGGAGAGTCATGATGTTTATCGAGCAGCATGGGCGTTCCTTCGCTGGGAAAGGGAACGGCAAATGCAGGGGTGTTCAGAAGTGCGCATTCCTCGCCGAGCTGACCGGCGACCAGGTCGACGGCGTCTTCATCGGGGGACAAGGCAGAAGCATAGGCGGGGGCAGTCGTTCGAGCGGCGAAGGCAAGGGCCGCGAGACGAACCCAAAATGATGCGACGGGGCAGCGATGGCGCGCGGCATCTGCGGACCGACGTGCCGCTTCCGAGCTGAATGCCCTCGGGCCAGCTCTGGGGGATGCGCCGCCGCCGAGTTTCTGGGGCCGCGCCGACTCCGGCCCCCTCGGCGGCGCCTTGGCTTCTCCATGGCATCTCAGGTGTGGCCTGCGCGGTTGCCGAATCTCCTCCGCCGCCGCGGACAGGGCCCTGGTTCTCGCGAGTGCAGCCCGTTATTGGGGCCCCCCCGGCGCATGCCCGTGTCCGCCCGCGGCTCTTGGTCGGCGGCGTCGCTGGCCGCAGTCCAGAGCCGTGCGTGCGTCGACGCGCCCGCCGTGTTACATGCTCCTCAGATATTCGACGCGGCCACACCTGCGTCAGGTCCCAAAATACCGGTGCTGCTGCACCCCCCCCGGCGCTGCCCCCGCAGCCTCGGAACCCGCGGCGTCGTCGGCGGCCTTTCGCGCCCGGGGGCCTGCGCAGCTCCTGGGGCGCCCGCTGCGCGGGGCGCCCGCGAGCTTGCAGCCGTGCGGCGTCGCGGCGCGGGGGCCTCCATTCGCCCGAGAGGTCAAATCGCGGTCCCCGACGACCAGCGAGTAGACATGCCGCATCTCAGCGGATTTGGCCTAATAGCTAGTCTCAGGCAGGGCCGGCGCGGTCGAGCCGCCGCGCCTGTTGGGCCCCAGCGCCGCGTCTGCGCGCGCCTCGCCGAGGTGCCGACCGCGCCTCCCTCGAGATCGCGGAGCGACGTGCTGCGTTGGCAAACCGCGAGACAGAGCGCGACGCTCAGATGGAACGGCGCCGCGCTGGCCAACGCGAGCGGGCCCGGCAGATGATCGACCGCGTGACGAATGTGGGACCAACCGTATCTTCGCCACCTTTGCCCGAAGACTCCACGACGGGACGCATGGGCAGCCGCTTGTGCGAAAGCTGACGGAGAGACTCTGTGCGACATCTGCTTAGATGGAACCCGCAATTTTGGATATCTGTGTCATGGCCCAGTGTGGCCCTCAGTTTCATCGGAGCTGTGCCGACGCCTGGGCCGCCGCGAGCCTCGGCGACTCCCGGCTCCGGGCTGCGGGCCCCCCCTACCAAGTGCGCCATATGTTCGCCCCATTCTGCCAGCGCCCAGCGTGCAGACAGCAGTGGGTGGTGCGAGAAGTCACGCGAATCCACGTTGCTGTGCTCCTCGTCCCGCGGGCTCTTCGGATCCACTGCGCTCCAGGGTGCTCGCGCGAAATGAATCACGTTCAGCGCGCTGGTGTTCGAGCGGGGGCAGCAGTGGCCATGTGGCTCGCCGCAGAGCGTCGATCCGAGGTGCCTGCTCATCCTCGGTGGCCCGCCAACGGCCCGTCCAGGTGTGCCGCGGCCGTGCTCGGCTCTCCACGGGTGAGCTCAGCGTGATTGTTGACCTAGGTGCATGGGCCAACCTCGCCCGAAAGACGCTCGCGCGTCAGCTGTGCCGTCGCGTTGTCGACGCAGGGCGCCGGCCGCGGCGGCTCCTCGAGCGCGAGCCCGAGGGCGTCCAAGGTTGTTGGCCACTGGGCCCTAGAGTGCACCTGTCATTTGAGCTCTCCTTATCCGTCGCAGATGATCAGTGCCGCGCTGCGCTCCGCAGCTTCGCGGCACGGGTTCCACGCGCGAAATCTTGGGCGCGGGCGGCCGCGAACTGATTCTTCCTGGGGGCGGCGGAGCGCAGGTCCCATGGCCAGCAGGTGCGGTCCGCATCTCTTTACAGAAGGCACCGAGTGGACGCTTCGTCAAGGTCATCGATGCTTTCGAGAGAGCGGCGCGGTCGAGCGGCGGGTCCCCGGGTCGCTCGGGCAACTGCGAGCTCGCATTGAAGAAGCAGAGATGGAGGTTGGGACATTGCACTTGCAGCAGCTGAGCAGTGGTCTTCCCTCGGCTCTCACTGGGCTGGCGGCCCCTCGCGGGCCGTCCCAGCACTCCTTGTCGGTGACCTAGCGTGCGCGAAACCTGCTTGCGTGAGTCAGCATGTGCCTGGCCCGGCACGAGCGCTTGAGCGGCGCAGTTGGACCGCCTGCGCAATGCGCCCTAACGTTCTCATGTCCGCCCATTATTCGGTATTTCTCCGTGGAGTCGTTCGACGCAAATATGGGCTTGCTTGGGCCGTGATGCCGCCGTAACAGTTCCATGCTGGAAACAAGTGCAAGGGTGCCCTCGATCCTACCCATGACCTCTTGCAACTTGCATGTGCTCATAATGGTGTAGCATGTGCAGATGAATTTCGCTGGCAGGATGACCGCAAATATAGGATTCGCCAGTCGCCGCGCCCCCAGCAGTAGGCATGAAACTGCTCACTATCCGTCTCTGCCGGCTGGGACTTGCGCTGGAGATGTGCGTTCCATCGCCGACCGAGACAGCGTTCCAGATCGCGCCGACAGCATTCGGCGGCGGTAGCTTTGGTCGCGGCCCAGTTCCCGGGCACCGTGGGGGGCCGGGCGC